ATAATTTTAACATCAAGTGAGCCGCAAGCTCGTTTGACCCCTATACTATAAAAAAAAACAGGCAGTTATGTTTTATAAACCTTATGTTTTTTCCAATGCTTGTTCTTCTTCTGCATTTTCCAAATATATAGTAGGGTCCAAGAAATGTAAACATATAAGTAGAATCACACTTCGAAATTCGTCCATGCGTGCTGAGCAACAAGGCTAGGTTTTTATTTGTAATATCAGGGATCAGAGAGGGTAGCTACTAAACAAATTAATACTACCTACATTTACCTATTGTTATGTAAATAATATTATGTTGTAGGCATTAAAATAAACTACTGGTCTAAAATATCTTTAAACCAGCAATAACAAATAAACAAAGGAGTATATATGTTGTGGATGTTTTAAATGCATGATTGTGTAATTTAAGTAGTCCTTTTGAATGTACTAATTCTGGTATTTTCTGCTAGTGATATAGTGTTTACTGCTAGTTTGACATGATATCTTAGTCCGCAGAAATGGCAACGAATAAGGTATTAAAAGGGCGTCATGTTACAACGTCACACGAATTTCGTTTCTCCCCGTTGTTGTCACAATTTCGTCTCTACCCGTCATTGTCATAATTTCGTCTCTCCCTGGCATTATCACAATTTTGTCTCTTCCCGTCATTGCCACAATTTCTTCTCTGACCATCTTTGTCACAATTTCGTCTCTCCCGTCATTGTTACAATTTTGTTATTGCCCGTTATTGTCACAATTTTGTCTCTCCCCGTCATTATCACTATTTCGTCTCTCCACGTCATTGTCACAGTTAGTCACACTTATCTTAATGTGATGCCAGAAATTTTGAAATATTGAACTATTTTTGTTAATAGTTTATATTTAGAAACACTAAATACAACACTTATTATAATTTTTTTTAATACGACGTCATGAAATTTAGGACCCCATTCACTCCCATGTCACACTTTGTCGACTCATGGGGAGTGAGTACCATGTGATGTAATTTATACTTTTTAACATTATTCATGCATATAGACAGTCAACTTCTCTGTCAATTTAATTTCATAATAAAAAATTATAAAAAATTGGTGCATAGACAAATGAAATAGATATATAGACATACAGATATTTATACATTAATCTCTGCGGTCAAAAAATAACAAGAGAAAGTTCCTTTCCGGTGTACAATAACAAGTTCAGTTATGTTATATTACATGTTTTTGCGGAGCAATATAGTGTGTTATTAACAAATTTGTAGAGTTATAAATATTATGACCGCAACTAATATGGACGTTTGATAAATTGTGTCTGGTAATGCTATCCGGTGATTAACTGTCTGTATTTCTGTCTGTATGCATTATTCAGCCACTTTCGACGAGGAGGAAGTTCTTAATTTAGATTGCATTTTTTGGGTGTATATTTACGTGAAAGTTGTACGTCGTAGTTGTTTTCATCCAAGAGGTCGTGAGTTCAAATCTGGGCGATAAGAGAAATGTGTATCAATATATAATTCTGACTGACTCTCCAGTTACGAAAATACTGACAACAAACAATACAAGAGACGTCGCTGGACGTCGTTGGTAGGCTCCTGTCAAGTTGGATTCCAAGCGAATAGGCAGGTCAAGTATTGATTCACCATAACATCATCTTTTTTTTTAATTAAAATATTCTAATGCTGTTGGCTGCAGCTAGCTTTTACAGCTTCATTCACTGATAGGGGTTTTAGGATGATTAACGGTGTAATTTTAGATGTTACTGATCATTTTGAATTGTCCTAGACCAATATATAATCATCACCAATAGTAAAGTGGAAAATTGAAAATAATTTGGAAAACCTTTATATAAACTGCGTGGTTAGGTTAGGTAATCAATTTAGTATTAAAATAACTTTATTTCCAAATTCTGTTAATCAACATAGTGTAAAATATAAAAATTAAAGTAATGACAGAAATTTATTTGTCTAAGTCTACCTTTATAATTGCTATTTGTTATTCAATATGGATTGTGGAGTTAAACTAACCACTTTTACTCTTAGAGTCGGGTAACACTTTCATAAGTGAAATGGTTTGTTAAGGGGAAGGTAGTAAGGAAGTTGAATACTATTAATCCACATTCTGTGTCACGCTGTTTTGTTTAGACTGGAAGAGATCCTTTAGAGATAAGTCCTCCTTTGCAACCAAAATTTGTAACATATATTTAAAACCTTGTATTTAAAAGTGAAATAATAATATTTATTCATAATACATATTTACATTTTAATTAACTGTAATTCTACACTAGGCTCGCAGGCCTGTATTGTAGAGACTGGAGTGACTTATTATTGTGTCCATTTTACATGTTTATAAAGTATATATAATTAATTCCTGGGAATAGATGAAAATGACAGAACACCTACCACGCAACAATTAAAAGGTCGGCAATAAGTAAACATACACGTACACACCCTTGGTTTTGGCCCGTAAGTAAGGTACACGCCACTAAGAGTAACAAACCAGCAAAAGCTAAATATTAATAAGATTATTTTGCTTCATTAAGCAAAATAATCTTATTAATATAATGAATGCTAATATTTGTGATGAGTGTTTGTTACTCTTTCACGCAAAATATATTGAACGGATTTTGATTAAACTTCACAGTAATATAGCTTATATATCAATATAACATATAGACTGTAAGTCAAAAGTGGAACTAACAATTAAATACAATATCAATCTACATATATTAATAGCACGCAATCCTCTTGGGTTATAAAATATTGTAATGGGATACCATTGTATCACTGAGTATTATTTTACTTTCTATTTTCAGTACTATATAGCAACTGAGTATCGAATGTGTTGATGCTTTCCAGCAATCGTATTTCTGAACCGACACCATACTGAAAACTTCAAGTAATGTAACCTACTTATTATATTTACCTTCTCATACATCATACTCGTGAACGAGTGCGGATTATAGGGGCTGGTCTGCTCTAATCTTATCGTGTATTTATATTTGACCCTAATAAATGAGTGCTAGTTGGTAGTTTGTATTCACACGTTTCGATTTAAAAATGTAAACTTACAACGATTATTTAAAAGAGCAACGCACAAGTTTCTTGCTCATTCTTCTTGTGATTTCTTTTCGAGCTTTCCGATTGAGCGGTAGATTAAAAAGTTTGTGATGACTATTCAAAAGTGCTTAAATGAAGTTTATTTTAATAAATTATTTTCTAATCTCTTCTATTCTATTCTCCTGTTCTCTGATTTTGGCTCTGACGTCCTTGACTGCATTGACTGTATTTAAACGATCAATTTGTTTTTCTTTGCTATTGTTACATATAACGTTGTTATATGTTATATATAATGTATTGTAACTGATAATGTCACTCTTCTCACACATTTTGATAAATTCATGAGGTACCTCTTATTGGCTTTACTAATTATGCAATACTAAATAATGTGTATAATCTGTGCAATCTGTTAATTACCAAAGTAAATAAAATAAAGAAAATACACACTTGCAATATCGCTGGTGTTGATAAAAAAAAATTATGGTATTTGACATACTGTATACTTGGGACGGTGTAAGTAAAACATCCCTATTTAAATTAGAAAGAGCGCAGAGAGCCCATCTCAAGGTGTTAACCCCATAATATCCCCAATATTGCCAGATATACTTTAGCTTTTAATGTTATAAACTACCCTCAAACAACACACTATCAGGTAAGCACTGCCTAAGCCAAGAAATTCAATGATTTGTGCATGCATCCGTACGAAGTCGGGACGGTTCGCTAGTATTAGTATAAAATAATAAAATGACATATTTATTTTTAGAAAATACATTTAATTTCATATAATTTCATGGTACACTCTTACATAATAGTATAATAGTTATTAAATATACTAATATATTTTTAAATAATGTCTGGTAACTCTTAAACATCACAATAAAATTTTGAATAAGTAAATAATACTGAGTTTATAAAACTATGGAGAAATATAAACAAAGGTTATATATTTTCATGATTTTATTATTTATTGCAATTTTCACTTATTTTCCTCATTTTATGTTTATGATTAATTCATGATTGTCTGTATTGTAAAGTATGTTAATATTTTATTAAGCAAGACTTATTACGTAAAATATAAAATTATAAAGAGTTTTTAATGAATGATTAATTTCATTAATGTTTTTTTAAACAATAACATTACTTATTCTTTTATTGTAAAAAAGCATTTAAGAGATTCTTCTTCTTCAAATAAATAAAATATTAATCAACATTTGGCATCAAACCCGAGAAATGAAATTCACATTTTTTGTAACATAATATAGAAATTATAATTACAGCTTAAAGCGATCAAACATGAGTCAAGATAAATGTAATGAGTTATAACATTTATTTAAATATTAATAACTATTTTATCTTAGTAATATGCGAAGATTCGAACGCGCAAAGAAAATAGCAAATGATTCTAAAATTTTCCAATTTCTGGAGTAATTTTCTTAATTTTTCTATTCGTAAGAACGCTCTACGAACGTAAATAGCCGAATATTCATAAGGTATCCTATATCTATTAAAATATATTTTCTTTAATTATCTCCTTCAGATTTAAGCCAAATACAGTAATCTCATAATATAAAGCAAATATCGTCATTTCAACCCAAAAGGTTCCGTTTTGAGGTCAAACTGACAATTTATTCATTGCACCGAGCCAATTTATATTATTTACTATTTAATATACTTATTACTATAATTAATTAATCATTTTTATATCAGTATTTTTTTTATTTATATTGCTATATTTTGAGTCAATATTTAATCGAAAAAGGAAATGAATTGTATCGAAATCAGAAGAATAGGTTCTGTACTATAATATTACTCATAAAATAGTTTAAATTGAAATTAAGTTAAAAAGGTTATAAATAATTTGTCTGAATTAAAGAATTAAATTGATATAAAAAACTTTTTCTGAGTTACTATTTATGAGCTATTAGAACAACATTTTCAAAATTATATTTTTTTACTTCATTAAACTTAAACTTTAAAAAAATCACGGATATCACTAATACTGATTTTATTTTTATCATAAAAGTGTCTAAACTAGAAATACTACATTTAAAATAAATGACGAAATTATTAAAATTGAGTTTTTATACTTTCCTAGCGGTTTCTAAAATAACATCTGCCTTCGTGCTTCTCTCTCTTTCTAACAACCTTCTCCTTACTTCTCCGGGATTATATCTCTTTCTATATACCCTTCTCACTCTCCTTACTGGATTGACATTTCTAGCCTTAATTATCTTTTTAATACCAAAGTTGGTATTATTCAAAATCGATGGAGCTCTAGAATCTTCTAGAAATCTAAACGATTTAGCTTTTCGGGTAGCATTTGAAAAGATCTCCCTTTGTTCTCTTATACTTGCGTCATAAAATACTTTTCCATTAACGATGGCTTTACGTATATTTTCTGTTGTGCTCAATATTCTTGGTGGTCTTACGAACGTTGTTTCGCTCACTTCTAAGCTTTTATCATTATATTTCTCTCTTTCTATTTCATCTTTTGTCACCCTTTGAATAACTCCTTTTCTTTCCGATGTAGGAAATTTATTTCCGAAATTAAAATCCACTAAATCTTTGTCAACAGCTATATTCTTGGCTTCCAGTTCTTTTTGTGAACGTTTTTCTAGAACTAATTTGGACCCGCGTCTTGAAGCTACCAATCTTCCTATAGCCTCTATTTGTCGCTCTTCTGCTTCTAAAGTTCTCAAATCAGACAGCTTATCTCCTTTTTTAGCATCCTCAATATCAAACACTTCAATTGCTGTAAAATCATCTAATTTATCATCAATCCCTTTTAGATTATCACTTACTTTGTCTTCCTTAACATTTTCTGGCATTACTATTTCTACAATTGAATTATTGGTTTTGATTATATCTTCTTCTTTAATTTCAGGTTTGATTGGATCTTTTAATATATTAGGTTTAATAGTGGTGGTAGTAGTAGTAGTGGTACTAGTTTTTAGTTCATCTGTATCTATGCGAAATATATCATCATTAGTATCATTTTGCAAGTCTCTAGTTTTTTCATCTCTTTGACTTCTACCTTCTACTCCAAGATTACTATTATCTGTTGGTTTATTTGTAACAACAGATGGAATAGGTTCTCTAGAGGGTACAATTGGCGGTAGAGGTTCATTTGTGGGGTTCCTTGGCGGTGGGTTATCTCTAGTAGGATTTCGGGGTGGTAACGGTTCATACCTTTCAGTTGTAGTTGTTTCGTTGTACCTAAAGTACGTCACATTCGGTGGAGGACCTTTATGAAGGTATGCTACTGGCCAGTATCTGAAATAAACATAATCATTTATAATATTGAGATTATAGAATGAGATTCGCTATTTAAAGCAAAATTCTGGAACATTTTATAGAAAAGCGACATATAATTGATATGCATGTGGTTGTGAGAGAGCTCATGAACATGTCATGATTAGGTGAATTATTTTCCCATCAAACAAATTATTCATTTCAATTTAGACTGTATATGAGAAGAATATTATCGAAGTAATTCAGATAAAAACAATGAGATTGTGTTACCTGGGTACACCAAGTCCTCCAGGAAGGGGAGGATCCAATTCTGGAGGATCATGCGGTGATAAAGGTACCCAATGCCCTGATGGTGGACGTGGGTAGTGGTGGTGATATTTGATATGTGGACGATTGGCAGTTGGGACTCGAGTATATCCTGAAAAGATTAAACATACTATATTATGTATTTAAAATATGTTGTAGAGTAATTCGGTATGTTGTACACATGTAGGTATAGAACATATTGTGGAGACATAAATACTGAATAATAAAATATATTAATTAAAAAGAAGATTCTGTGATGTTGATGTAATAAATTTTAATACTCCAAAAAAACCAACAATAAATTCTTCACATAATGAAATAAATCTACAGAGAAATTAAAAAAAAGAACAGTGACTGTTATATAGTAATTCTTATATTGTATTATATAGTTTAGTATCAATTGTCTATGACTATCTCTAACCATTTTGATACCCTTAAATTTCAAATAAGAGATTTAAGTATATTAACGTTAACAATTTGAAGTTGTAATTACTTCAAAATGCCTCAAAATATATCCAATATAATTTATTAATATTTCTTGCAATACAATCATATAACTAATACATATTATTTCATTTAACTATGACAATATTAATACAAAACAGCTAATTACCTGGTAATGGATTTCCATACTGGTCATAGTATGCTTGTGGTCCATTTTTATATAGGTTATCCCAATATCTACGATCATTTTCTGACAAATATGGCCCTAAGAAAGGTCCTGGTCTATCATTATTAGGAGGTTTTCCTCTCCAAGGTCTGCTCGGATATGGACGGGGCTGATCATCTGAAATTGTGCATTAATTCTAGACTAATTAAACTACCACCATCCCTTAAATAAGTAAATAAAATTAAAGATATTCAAAGCCTTCCTACGCCATGAAACATAATAAAAAATTACCCTCTTTTCTCAGAGATAGATAAATATAGATATGAACAATACTAAGCAACAAATATGATAGAAACTATAGGGGTTTCAATAATTTAACCTTAAAAAGAATTGATGGTGGCATATTGAAATTATATATACGACACTTGTTTCAATTTAAACTCCATGTGTCTTGATTTCAATTAATAATTATAAATTCATCTACATAATCATGACGTGGTATATTTTAACTTTTATTAAAAAATTTTCATATATTTATTTCAATTATAATCGTTGTAAAACCAATGGTCCTACATTATATTTATTACAACTTCATATTTAATAATTTTCTGCAGGAAATTAATAAAAATACATTGCGTATTATATTCGATAATATTCCAACGCTAGTTCAGTACAAATCACTAACCTCTATGTCCTTGAGAGGGATGAGGCACGTTGTGTTGATGATATGGGTAGTATTTTTCACTACACGGTCTCCATTGATCATCTGTTGGGCCTACATAGCACCTGAAATTTAGTAATTCTTAATAATTTACGCTATAGGTAAACCTAATTATTTGTATTCTCTGCTATAAAGGACATTGTATATTTGGCGATAATAAAAGAATTCGATCTCCATATCTTATAATATTTAATTATTAAAATGTTAAAATATTTTTTCTGTTTTGCCCTGTATATAATAGGTTTTTAATTACGTACGGAGCAGTTCGTTACATTAGTTCAGTTGATTCCTTACAGAATCAAAGTATTCTATAGCCGATTTGCATCAGATGTTTTAAGATCTATTTACACAAAACAGACTATTGGATATTCGTTATGTATGGAAAAAATGACACAAGGTAATCGGAATTCCATCATTATCGAAAAGTATACATACATAGAATGGTGCAAGTGCAGTTAAATTGGTTGCGGCCCATAAAAATCTCACGTCTCAGTTAGCCCTCTATATACTCTTGTATATGTAAGAAATCTTTTCAGTTATACTCAGAAGATAAATATTTATTGACTTCAACGCTAGAACTACTGATGATGAACTACTGATGTATCAGGTAGTTAATAAAAATAGAACAAACGTTACTAACAGTATTAATGTTAGAAAAATCGTTTATATGGAATCTATACAATTCTTTGTATTGTCATTATTATAATAGATATGGTGCTGATCATTAAATTCACCTAAAACACTCGATTCTCGCACGGTGCGAACATTTGTATTCATGAATATAATTGCTGATATCGGTCAGGTTGTTTTCTATGTATACTATGTATGTATTTATAAATAAAAATCTAAGTATTTGCATCAGTTTTGTAGTACCCAACACAAACTCTGTCTATCCTGAGATTAGATGGCACTGTGTTAATTGTCTAGGCCTATTTATTACTATTGAAAACTTAAGTATCAATATGTTATAACTATAAATACATGAATAATTTAATTGACAAGATATTTGTTAGTCTTTCATGCAAAAACTACAGAACGGATTTTGATGATATAATTAAAAAAAATATTATATAAATTGGGTGATATATAATGATAAGGGCGTAATTTAATAAAAGATACTTCAAGGGAGTCTTATATTACCAAGGTTTATGGAAGCCTTCACTATAACCGCAACGGTGGGTCGGTGCACAACAATAATCCCATGATCCTGTAATATAAATAATTAGTGTATTTGTATACATTATATAAACGGAAAATTTACCATGGATAATAGCAAAAGACAGGGTGTCGAAATATCGGAAGATCTTCCACATAATATTGTGGTTGAACAACTAGGTACCGCGATAGTACCCGAGCCAGAACCTAATTTCGTCAATCATTTCCTCTCGGCCGAAAATTTCTACAATGGTTAAGTTAATTGTATAAGAAGCGTAGTTAAAACCAGCAATGGTCCCGAGTGTATTTACCTTAAATTTTCAACCGGGAAGAAATTGTGAATTGCATCTCTCTCTCGCTTTATACTGACAATGTGAATATGCCACGGCAGCGCCGGTACATTATTGCTTTCGGCATCAGTAATCTTCCTTTATGAAGGTAGACAGCGTATTGGTGGGAACTCAGCCCATAAACGCCTTGAAATTCGCATTGTGACTCGACTCCAGCTGTATTGGTATGAAATGAACACTTACCGACTTCTCCTCCCTCTGGTTCACAGGCCCAATGACCAGCCACCTGGTTCTGAGCACATGAGGTACCAGCTCGACATGGGAACCCAGATACCGTAAAATGTCTCCATGATACAGCAACTGTAATGCAGGAAAAATATATGTATACAAAGACAAGAATACGAATAAAATATTTCTTTTAATAGAAACAAATAATGGAAAATCAATATACTTTTATAATAAAATATGTCATAGACATTGTTTAAATGAGAAAGTGTATCTGTCTGTATGTCCGAAGATAGACTGTATTATGAAGTTCGTCTTATCCTTTATGTAAAAACAGACAAAGTCACTACTAATAGCTTGTAATAATATAATGAAATATAAAAAATACCAAAATGGTATATAAATATACCAATATGTATATTTATGTAAGTAGAATTATAAACAAACTAACGGCCCATTTCAAAGTGGTTACGTCACCTACATATATATGAATATAACCACTGACATTATAAAATATATTTAATACAATTATAGCAAACATTGACATTTAAACTATTTTTCACCATTTACAATTAAACAGACTAATTAATTATTACTTAAAAAAATAAAACAAAAAACATGATATCTTTATTAATTATTTAAATGTAAATAGAAATTGTTACGAATTAGTTAATTATTTGTACTATGACAGTTAACTAAACTACAATAACGCTAACTACTACTAATGTAAAGTGTATTAGATATTCACAAAACAAAACGTAATATTTAGTTAATAATATTAAATAAATCTTGATATAAAAAGACAAATATATCTAATAGGTATATAATTCACTAAATCTTTACTTTATTTTCAATATTTTTATGTAATTCGAAGGACAAACAAGCTACCAGCCCACCTGATGGTAAACGGTAACAGTCACGACAAACATGAACAGCATCACGGATATCATATTATCACGTGATAGAATGGCAACGCATGAGTTTCCATTCTAGAGGACTGTCATGCTTCCTATAAATTATATAATTCCATGATTAAAATAGTGAATTCGAGGTTTAATAAAACTGTATATAAATTATTTATATTACTGTTTTGTTTAGTGAAGTGTTAGTTAATTGATAGTAAACTAAATCTAAATTCTGAAGTTTAACTACGTGAAATGAATTTTAGTTTATGTTGTTATCAAATAGTTTTAAGTAATCTTGCTGTCCTGTAAAATAAATTTATTATTATTTAATTAAAAAAAAATCGGCCGATAATCATAAAATTTAGATATACACTTAGCCAGACCACAGATAACACAATATCACATAGCCAGATACAACAATAGGGCAGCGGGGGGAAGGAGATTGTTAGTAATAATTTCGACTTTCTAGGTTGACTTCCACGCGGCTCCCCCTGAAAACAACGTGGTAAATTGCCATTTCCCTAATTGACCTGACTTCATTCTAATTTTATCATCTTCCATTAGTGCCCCGCCAACGTAAACCGTTAGCGCAGGCTGGTGCATCATTCCATTATCATCCATAAGAGACAATAGGGCGACAGTTTAAACACACTACTATGGATCTCCGATCCTGAGAGACGTTTGTTTAAACTAGCAACAGACAAAATTACATACTTTTTTCTTTAAGTAATTGAATTAGCTAACAAGCTTGATGGTAAGCAGTAACCATGGCCTATATATATGAACAGCACTACGGACATCACGTTATCATATGACACCCGTGATACCACTCATGCGTTGTCATTTCAGAAGACTAAGATGTCATGCCTCTTATCCAGTAATTTCATTCTACTTGATGAAATTACATTCTTTTTATTCTATTCTTGTTTCAAAAGACCGTAAGTAGACCGTAAATAGGTACACAAAGAATCTAAAATTTGTTACATAATTAAAAATGTGTTTAATAAATTATTTTTCCATTTCATTTTTACACTCATGTTATGGGATTGTGAATTCTATACTTCATATTCATAAGTAACATGAAAAATACTTACTGTCTTCACGATCAATCGGATAACCTGGTTTGGGCTTCGGTGGTCCATACTCGGGTTTGGGTTCGTGTGGCAAATACCCGGGTTTGTAACCCGGTTCTGGAGGCGGATATCCGGGCCTGAAACCCGAGTCGGGCGGATATCCGGGTTTAAAACCGGGCCCACTCGGCTCCGGTCTAAAGCCTGGTTCCGGTAAATACGCTGGTCCGCTTGGTTCTGGTCTGAATCCGGGTTTGTAAACTGGGTAATCGGGTCCAGAAGGTGCAGAAGGCCTGTAGTCTGGTGGATAACCAGGTTTAAATCCAGGACCAGTAGGTTCAGGATACACAGGTTTTAATGGTGGTTCGGGTTCAATATACCCGGGTTTATATCCAGGCCCGCTTGGTGGACCAGAAGGAGAGTATGGCACATCTGAAAACACATTTTTATCTTTTTATATGTACATATAGTGCTACTCGTTATTCTTCTTTATTCCCTACCAGAGGAGGCCTCGGTGGTCTAGTGGTTAACCTTACTTCCCATGGTCGCGGGTTCAATTCCTCGGTACAAACATTTGTATTGTTTGTGTTGGTTTTGGTGTTTTCTGTTGGTTTGATTGTGATATTACCTCCAGCTGTGGGTAAATACCCTGGTCTTCCAGGGCCTGAAGGACGGTCATCATAACTTGGGCCTGATGGACGTGGCAGCTCATTTGACGGGTCACTGAAAACAACGTTTTAAACAAGATTTATATGAAACAAGTTATGGAAGTTCTGCTTTTGTAAGCTGATATTTAATCGAATTAGGTGTTATTTTGCGGAAGTCCATTTCACTACTCCATGGATTTATACTATTTTGTTTAATTCCGCTACAATTAACATGTGTGAGACTACGAATATTCGGTGCAGAAACCTGACCAGCGCTACGACCTTCTCCAGTGGTGATCAAATTCCGACCGTTATTGAGTCTACACCCATATCGCGACACGTGTTTCCCCTCTGAACGAGGCATCATCAGGCGTCAGTCATCAGTCTCATCGGCGAGGGTGGTCACCCCACCGCACTTGACCCGACGAAGTTCCACGTCCCCGAGCGCCTTTCCAATAATCGGCTCGCTATAGAATGGGACTGTTGTATTTAACACTAGCGTGTTAACTGTGCAACACTAGTGCGTTCGTGCGTCTAAACAACAACCTACTCTGCTCCATCTCTCTTGGATATTCTGCTCTGTGCCTTTTTACTTGCTACGACACATGTATTTTTCTAATTAATAAATTATATTTGTAAATTGCTGCTTTCCTATTATAAAATGCAATAGGGACTACCATTAGATCCAGCATCTCTGGAATATGCCATTGGATGATGGACGATGTACCATCTTGAAGTTTTTAGGTAGGAGTCTTACAATAGCCGTTAGCATCTCCCGGGGCAGACGGCTTACAATTAGTTTGGTTTAACTTATTTCCCATTCAAATTACAATAAAAAAAACTTACTCATACTCGTTCTTCCCGTGTACCTTCCTCCAGCACTGGCCATTGAAGAGATCGAATGCGAAAAGCCAGTCATCGACAGAATGCTCGTAGTCAACTCCTCGCTGAAGATCGAAGAGACGGATATCTGATAGGAGACAATTATCTGTGCCTGGTGGTACCTTGTTACTGAAACGAGAAAAACCTTTAATTATAACAAACACACAGACAGACAGTCAAAAATTGAAAAAAATGTTATTTTGGTGTATGTACCGTATTTATATTCATATGCATGTAGTAAAAAATGGTTATTTCAATATTACAAACAGACACTGCAATTTTATTTATATGTATAGATTATTCGAAAAAAACTCAACGTGAAATATTTATAGAGATCACTGTATCATCAAAAATAAATATACCTAAAGACTATACAATAAAAACAAATAAATATCACGAACTAATAAAACGAATTAACAAAAATGGCTATGTGGTTTATATGGAATCGAAGTGGATGTGAGAGGTATACCAGCGAAATCTCTCTACAATCTCTAAAAGATCTTAGCCTGACTAGAACTGCAGTGGATTCTGTATTAGAACGTGTACCTAAAGCTGCTCTGGCAGGGTCCTACCAGATTTAGCTGGGTATGGAGAGAAATATGAGCGGTGAAGGTGGTATGGAGAGAAATATGACAGGCATAACATAAAAACAATGATAGGGACAATGACGGGCCACTGTCCCTTAAACAGACATTTGTACACAATAGGTGCTACAGACAGTCCCCTATGCCGGGGCTGCTTTGTAGCCGAGGAAACGGCCGCTCACGTAATCCTGGAGTGCGAAGCAGTGACCACACAACGAAATCAAATCCTCGGAACGGTGAGGTCGCTCCGAGAAGCCTGCGAAGACACCAGGAGACTTCTGCGCTTCTGGGAGGAGCTTGGCTGGCTACGTTAGTAGCCTGGCTCTACACGCACAACGGCCCGAATGAGAGGCCAATTGCGGAAAATGGAGTCCAACCTACCCTACCCTACCCTACCCATGAGCGGTGAACGTGAATGTTGACATACGTCGGCAATTGGACCCCTTAACCTACACCCGGATCCCAAGAACTGCTCAGAGTTTCGCTTTGTGCCACACGATGGGCCTGTTTCCCGTGCGGTAAATCTATAGAACGCTAAGAATTTCGTTTCCCATAAATATGCTTACTTGAAAGAGAAAGAGAGGCATCTAAATGGTGCATCGGTGCATGCAACTCCACACGCCTCCTCTGTACGAACACGTGTCGAACCCCGGACCGCCGAGTTTTTCAGTCGCGCTGCACTATCGTATTGTAGGTAGCATTCTGTCAAATCAAATTAAAATATCTTTATTAATGTAGATCTATTCAGATACAGATTGAAGTATATGTGGGAATGAGAAGGAAGCATTATGTCGTCTCTAGTCTGTCGTCGCACACTGCTGGCGTCATGCAGCATTAAGAACAATGGTGTGTGTCTGAGAACCGATAATTAAGGAGACAAATTGTATACTTATGATTAGTCTAATCTGCCGTTATTTCAGTATAATAATAATAACCCTGGAGAATTCACACAACGCTATCTAGTCCCAAGTTACAACTTTGTATGGATGAATGGATTTTATGGATGCGCCTTTATAATATTAGATATGTATGAAACTCGAAGAAATATGTACCTTAAGGTAGAGTTTGATTGATTTTAATTTAAGGTAAACTTACGTGTCTCTCTATGCTGTGTATCATCATACAATGCTGGTTCACAGCCTCTTCCGTAGTTCCCTCTTGAGTACAATTCATGTCCAGCCGTGGGCCGCAGACCTCTGTTATTTTCCAACGAAGTAGGTGGAGAAGAAGTTAAGATGCAGTTCTCTAAATCATCACCTATTGTTGGAGCGTCGAATCTGTAAATAAAAGCATTATTCATAAGTTTTATAGATTTTATTGGATGTAAAAAAACAATCAATATCATTTTGACATGACGGCCTCGGTGGGTGCCTGGGATATTGTAATCACTAATTACTAAGATTTCTGAGATAAATATATTGATTCTCAATTTTTACCTTACATTCTTATGTACTTTTTTAATAAATCATAAATAAATAAAGCCTATGTCAAAAGACACACTTAAAGAAGAAAATATATAAATATCTAGAGATACTTTGAATAAATTACCTGAAACTAAATCCTCTACAGAAGAATCCATGAGCACGGATACATTCAGCTTCACAGGCACCGAGACCAGCGACTGTGATTGCTCCTCTTACAGCAGCACCACTCACCGCAGCCCCGGAACGCACATGCCAGAAACATTCTAGAAGATACACATTACTCTTGAAACTTATATCAATAGTGTTAGACTAACAATGAGATTCACTTACTCACAGCGGCAGGTTTATATACTTACTTAAATTCAGAGTCTTGCATCAAAACAGTTCAGCAGCTTATGCCGTGCGTAAGGTTATACAGATACTGTATAATATATACCATATAAGGTTACATAGTATATATTATACAGTATACAAATACTGATACTGCTACTTTAGTTATTTTCATAGTCTATGGTATTGTGGAATTTATTATGAGTAAAGGTTGCAGTTATTAAAACTATATACATACATATTACAAAAACGGGCCATTGGAGCGATTTACTGTATGAGGAGTCATGACTTATCAAGAGAAATTCAAAGAGGCAAATATTCTCACTGATGCTTCTCAATTTACATACTCAATATTCTGTATGTACACAAAAATATTCACTTATATTCCAAAAAAACAGCAATATTCATAACATTAATACTAAATTTATATAGTATCGTTTAGAAAAAGTATCAGTTTTTTTCATCGTGTGCTTCTTTCTTTAAATATGATTTAATAATATTTACAGTGGTGATCTTAGGTTAAATATTTTATGGAATAAGGAACGTACATTAGAAGGGAATATTTACTAATCATTTTAATTTACCAATGATAATATTTTATATATGACATATACTTAAAATTGAACCTTACCACTTTCAACCCAAGGTTTATGACTGATTGTGGAGCATCCTTGATCTTGCGGCATAGCGTAAACATCTGAACCACTGTCGGCTGACAGCTCCAACCCTCGATAAGGTCTTTCACTTAGGAAACAGTTATCAGTGCCTCTCGAACTGGAATATCTGAAAGAAGAAACACATTAAACTAACTATTTTACATATACGTCTAATTTGTACAGTGGACGATAAATATATTTGTGGTACTACACATGGTAATGGTAGCGGAATTAAATAAAATAATATAAATCCATTAATAACTTAATGTATTAAAATTTAGTCTTAAACTTACCTATAACTGTATGAGACGCATTTGAACTCCCTTTCGCCAAAGCAGGCTGCTTCACACTCAACCACATTGTGGGCAATAAGGGACCGTCTTATGGCACCAGACCCTAAGGACATGCCGGGTCTACGACGCGATGAACAATCTAGAAAGTTTCAAAATATAATCGTCAATTGTTTATTCATATAAATGGAGACATAGTTGAATTAGATCCGGCTCGAAGGACCATTGTTTATTTCTGGATACCTCGAAAAAACTAATGGACAGTAACATATTATATGTTATATATGACTATTAGAAATGAGAATTGGTGTAATTGATGTTAATTCAATTAATAATAGTGATATTATTAAAAAAAACCGCGCAAGGTATTGGTGCCGGTTAGACGAGAAGTAATATTTCTTTTATAGATATTTTGTAATGTAAGGAACCGCTATTTTGATGACTTATCTGATATACGTTGACGTATTTTAGAAACAAGCATATTCGTCTTCTTGAAGTTAAGGTGAGAACTCTGAGAATATAAAAATAACTAAACCAAACTGAATAATACTGGTAGAAATATGGTAAAAATACCACATACTGTTAAATCCGAAGGATTTACTATATAATCGTGAAAATTAAATAAATAATTCATAACTGTTTTGTTTTGTTTTTTGTTCATTTTTAATAAAAATGAACAAAGCGATGTGTGCATTTTGTTTTTTATAGCATACAGAGTGGATGTAAGTTCTCCAGAATGGCAACGCATGATGATTACTAGGGATATCACATGATAATGTGATATCTGTAGCGCTCTACATTCATATAGGCGACGGTTACGACTTACCACTCATCCGTTGGGTCGTCAGCTTATTTACCATTCCAGTTAAATAATAACTTACCTTTACCACTCGGGTCTTCATTCCTATCATCATAATAATGATATTTCGGTTTATCGAAGTAATTAGACTCTCCATAGTCCAGATTGTTCCAGCTTCCTGCTCCAGAGCTATTCCAGCGGCCTCTCTTCCAAGATCCATAGCCATATCTATAAATAAAGCGTAAGATATGTATTTTGCAACAACTTGGAAACAGCTGATAATATTATCTAATTGTTCAAAGAATGAGTGCGTAGCGGTTTCATGTTGATTGTCGCACGCCTCGTCCTTGTTAATGTGTATTTAAAAGAGCAAATGTCAAGTTTCGTACTCATTTTTCTTGTCATGGATTCATGTTATTTTTGTCAGCGTTTCGAATGTTTGGTAGTATAAAAAATATTATATTAAGTTTATTTCACAAGTTTCACTTCTCCTTGAACAATTGAAGCAGAGGCGTTTAGAAATTATATGATTGTAAACCTTCAGCATATTTTCTTTATAGGGGTTATAAAAAAATATGCTGAAGGTTTACAGACTAGAAACAAACTAGCAGCTAATCTGATGGTAAGTGATTACAGCAGCAACACCAGGGATTTTTTTTAACTGAGTTTTTTTTTTTTTATAAATGCCATCCATACATAATTACATAACTAATACATTTTTTTTATAAATGCATACATAATTTACATAGAAAACATACAGACTAAGACAAACAATTACACTAATGAATACAATTGTTTGTACTGTGCGAGGAATTGAACCCGCGACCATAATAGGTAAGGCGGTGTGATAAACCACTAAACCACCGAGGCCATTTTAAATAGACCATACCTGTGACTTTCCCACAATCGATTCTTCCCCAAGTTGTGATAATCGAAGTTCGTGTTGTGGTATTGTTTGACTCCATACGTCGAGCGGCCTATGTCGTCAGCTAATCGCCAATGGTTGATAGACTTGTAATAGTCGCTCCTATCCTTGTAATAACTATCATGGCCACCATAAAAGCCCCCATATTGTCCCCAAGATTCCTGCTCGTCATTGCTTCTGCCCATACCTGAAATGAAATCAAATATTATTTATAATTTAACGTATTTTTAGGCAATACCACAAAAAATCTTAGATATATATTGTTAATTATATGTACATTTTATTTGCTCTTTTTTTTCGTTTGTTTTTTATATTGACATGACTTTGTAGTTATTTATATGTAAAATTATAAAAAAATCACGAGGAAGGAAAATGTCGGGAACCCAATAAGTATATAAATAACGTGGCAAGAGAGAGAAACGAACTTCTTAGCATCTTCTTACCGGGGCCATCGTGTGGCAGAAAGGGACCCCTTTACGATTAGATACGATTTACTACGTGTGTCAATGTCTTAATTTTATATATAAAATTCTCGTATCACAATGTTAGTCACAATACTACTACGAAACGGCTTGACCGATTTTATGAAATTTTATGTGCATATTTAGTTAGTATGCGAATGGACTACTATCTATTTTTCTTACCCCTAAATGACAAGGTTGTTTTTTTTATTTTTGTTGGACAAATTTTTTTTTTTATAATGTGACATTATAAAATAAATATAACCCTAATTATTCACCCTTCTATCACCACCCCTACTTTTTAATAGCAATATTGGTACATTTTATATGGCAAAACAATGTTTGCCGGGACAGCTGGTTTCATGTTTCAATATTTGCTATCTGCAATCCTTCTCAATAAAACTCATAAACATTAATTGTGTAAATCAACATGATCTTAAAAACGCGTTCTATTTTATTACTGCATTTATTAATATTATGCTATTAAAATAAAATTAAAATAAGACAATAAATATTTAAGATCTACCTATTTGATAAGGCACGAACAATCTATCTTCATAACGCCTTCTTCCATTGTACCTGATTCCTCTTCTGTCATCATAGTATTTCTCATAATTAAACCGATCTTCATACCAGTCTCTTCTATCCCATTGGTAGCCTGGTAACCGACTGGGTTTTGAGGACAAGTACCCTGAATGTAGTAGACCAGGTCCTCGGAGGGTATCAGGGCAGTGGGGTTCTAAGCTGTTCCGGTCTACTTCGTAGAAGTCGTAGTCCTTATCGTCTACAAAGTCTCTTTGGATATCAAATGCTTCAATCGGTTTCGTCATCAGTTCACAGAGGCCTTTACCACGGAATGATGGATCCAGTCTGAAAAAAAAAAGAATAATTTATATTACTTATTTAAAAACACTATGAGGCCCATTTTCTCCCAGTCAACCATTGGCCAAACAGAGATTTATATGGGTAGTGCACTATAGAATTATTTAATTTTATGTTTATTATTTACTAGCTGTACCCGCCAATTCGTCCGTGTGGAATTTATAATTATTTTTCTAAAATAAAAGTAGCCTAAGTTACTCATTAAATCAGCTACATGCCAAAAAAAGTCCCGTCAAAAACAGTCCAGCCATTTCAGAGATCCGGAACTAACAGACAGACAAACAAAAATTGTAATAACAGAGATTTGTGTGGGCAGAAGATTATAAAATTATTTAATTATACATATTTTCTATTACAACTTTCACAGGTCTTATACTAATACAATAGCGTAACAATTATATCTTTGATGGATCACGGATACATTACTGCATTGAATTACTGGATTTGTTCTATATTATAACACGCATGTATTATTTATATAAACATTCCTCTTGAATCAATCTATCTATTGCTGAAACTGCATTAAAATCCGTAGCTTAATTTAAAAGATACAAGCGAACGTACGCTGTATGTTCGCTTGCGGCGACTTTGTATTATACTATACTAGCTACTCGCCCCGGCTGCGCCTGGGAGTACATGTATTATATATATAAATTGCCTCTTGTATTATTCTATCTATTAAAAAAAAACCTCTTCAAAATCCATTGCGTAGTTTTCAAGATTTAAGCATATATAAGGACGGCCAGACAGCGACAGCTACTTTGTTTTGTTATGTAGTGATAAAGATAAAGCAAACGAAGTCACAACCAACGGCCAGTATATGTTTTGAGTTTAGTTTAATAGAAATTCACTAAATATAAGTACATATATAATGCTCCTCAATCACATGTGAGTTACGACGACCTTTGGGTCTGTACCAATTATCTCACACATATTCAGGTCAACCATTATTGCATACTGTATGATTCTCATCATCTTTTTATGCAAATTATTCGGTTTGTACTACACAGAGATGGACTTAGTATAATAACAAACGTAGTAGTATAACTAAGAACAGAAATAAATTGTTAAAAATATATATAATTACTAACTACTATTAAGATTTCACTCGCGCGAAATTTATAGCCTATATGTTGTCTTGATGTATTACTGTAAAGTTTCATCAATATCCGTTCAGTAGTTTTTACGTGAAAGAGTAACGAACATCTATCCATACTCATAAACTTTCGCGTCTATAATATTAGTAATTGTAAAGGGAAGCAAGCTGACGGCTCACCTGATGGTAGGTGGTAACCATCTTGTTACCATACCAACCATTATTATTTCTGAGAAGATTTAAATGTCGACCTATTATTATTTATTTTGATTCAGATTCCATCCATATTGTGTTAGTAAAATCTTATAAAACTATGTTAGTAACTTATAATATACAGATACGGAGATGAGACGTCCATATTCATGAATAATCTCAATTATAAACTCGAAAGCTTGTGAGTATAGAAGCATAGATGGATGGTAGTTTCATGCAAAAACAAAACTACCGAAATTTTATGACACTTTACAGTAATAAACTTACAACATCAGTATAACACAATGGCTATAAATTTCAGCCGGGTGAAACCTCGCACAGCTACTCATATTATAAAATTTGTTGGAGACTAGATCTTAATCTTAAACTATACATATATATTATATATCTATCTATATATAATTTGGAATCCAGGGCCCCATTTGAGTCACATTGTGAAGAAAACTTCAAACAAATAATTCTCAATCAATTAATAAACATAATAAAATAAATAGCTTAAATTCAGTTTAATATGTGGTGTGACTCCCACTGAACTGTGCAGTCGAAGTCGCGTTCTCAGCTAGTCAATAAATAAATTTCTAATTAGGCACAAATAATTCTCGGTATTAGAAAAACCTCGACCGATCCCACTCTTTTAGCCCAAATACAAACAATAGACAACCCAAAACATTAATTAATTATTGTGTACACAATTATTTAATTGTATAAACCTTCCGCATAGTCCGTCCCTGCGCTATCGGCGCGTACACAAGGTGATCGTAGTACAATGCTGATGTTGTACGTTGATAGTGAGTAGTCGAGGTTGGTAGTGTGTAGACAGCCTAATTTGTTGTACCCGGTCATATTGATTTGGCTTTATATTCTAACTTTTTTTTCGGACTACTCTGTTGGCCGCAACTGGCCTTTTACCGGACGATAGAGGACGAGTATAGATGGCACTCCAAACCGGCGGAAAGACTTATGGAGCGGCTGAAAGCCAACTCCCGCCTGACGGATACGACTTTAATCTGAGCGAACCTCTAGGACTTCGAACATCGGCTCAGGCCGTCGTAATTTCGATCTCCGGTTGAATTGGACCGAGGGATTGGAGGGAGTCATATTCTAACTGTACGAGCTCTGTGGTCTAGCGGTTAACATACCACTTTATTTTCGATGGTCGCGGTTTTGATTCCTCGCGGGGTACAAACATTATTCATAAGTATGATTGTTTATATTTCTCTGACTGTTTTCTAAGTATATTACGTATGTATTTAAAGAAGATATTTAAGTGTATGATTCAGTTGTTTAGTACCCATAATACAAAATGTGCATAGCTTGGGACTACATGGCGCTGTGTGAATTATCCTGGTATACTCTTCTAGGCTAGGACTAGACTGCTGATATAAATTGTAGAGAGACTACAGCATGGGGTATTTCAGGAAGGGTATATTAATGTTTTTGAAGGGTCGGCAACCCGCACGTGACATCCCTTGTGTTTCAGGTGTCCATAGGCTACGGTGACCATTTACCATCAGATGCAGATGGGCCGTATGCTTATTTGGAACATCGTAGTATAAAAATAAATAAATAAATACGTATAAACTTTTTCTTCAATACTTACATAACATACATATAAAATATCCAAACTGACACAAACAATTATACCCATGAATACGAGTGTTCGTACCATGCGAAAAATTGAACCTACGCCATTCGGAAGTAAAGCGGTGTGCCAAACCGCTAGACCACCGAGGCCGTCATAAAAAGGTACTTATAGTTATGAAAAGGTAACAAACAAACACATGCACAGATATATTTTCGCATTTATATAGTTAATGTATACATTAGTAGGATGTATGTTATATGTATGGAAATAATAATATCCCATTACACAATAACCTACATGTTCATTATGCATATAGAGAAGGGCTTAAGATTTCATTACCATACGTCTACATTACGAGTATCTGATACACAGATCAGAAAAATATTATCTTAATAATATTATAAACGCTGAAGTTTGTGAGTACGAATGTTAGTTACTCTTTCACGTAAAAACTACTTAATGTATTAAATTTTGATGAAACTTTACAGTAATATAGCTTATGCATCAGAATAACACATAAACTATATTTTTATTGAAATTTAACGCGGCTGAAACTGCGAGCATAGCTAGTACAAAATAATTAAATTCTAAAACAGTGGTTTTAACAGAATTTAATTATTTTTATCTCAGTTTATCTCATTGCAACTTACTGAGCCCATCTGGGTACACCGTGATCTTATACTATACTAGCTGACCCGCGCAACTTCGTCTGCATCATACTTACTTGACAGTTATTGTTATGTTTCGCCCAATATACATAATATTTTTTTAAATTATAGCCTATGTCTAGTAGATTTCGCGTGAAAAAGTATCAAACTTCCATCCATGCTCACTAACTTTCGCATTTATAATATTAATAAGATTTAAAGTAGTCGGTTTAACACAATATACATAAAAAACACCCAGACCAATACAAACATTAATTCTCATGAATACAACTTTTGGTTACGGACGAGGAATCGAACCCGCGACCATCGAAGGTAAGGCGGTGTACTAACCGCTAGGCCACCGAGGCCGTCAAAAACTGTTTTAGTTAAATAAAAACTATTTTTACACGGTCGATTATATACATTTGAAGCGAATTAAGGTCACAGGTTCGTACCTATCAGGGAAATAATTACAATAGTGCGAACGCTTCGTGGGAGAATAAATGAGACACTTTAAAAACATTCGTTTTAAAGTATACAAGTTATTACCCGCGATTTCATTTGATTTTTGTTTTAAATAAAGGATAAACTCAACGGATGTTCTAATGAACTCTGCGACGGTAATCAGTCACCATCAGGTGAGCCGCAAGCTCGTTTGTCCCTTATGCTATATTAAAAAACTTAAACTCAAAATCATTTACTGTTTTAAATTTGACGCGGTCATTATTAATACGTACAATTAGTAAAAATCATGGGATTTATTGATTTCCCGATATTTCGGCAATGTTTCAACCGCCATGATCACGGGTAAACTGAAGTGCAGCAGGTAGAGGTAAATAAAATCATTTTATGGGCATACATATGCGTCTACCTTCACACATGTTCGTTTGTTGCTACTATTGAAACTCGCTCGATATTCGTTAATAAAAATAAAACGTGATAAGAACTCGTGATTTTTACTAATTATACGTATCAAAATGAAATGCGTAGTGACGAGGATTACGTGGTCAAAAAGGCCTTAAGACTATCCGAACGCAAAAGAGGCTGAGGACGTCCCCAGCCACTTGGTGGACCAGTATTGTATTGTATGTTGGACTCCAGTCTCCGCAATTAGCTTCTCATTCGGGCCGTTGTGCGTGCAGAGCCAGACTACTAAAGTAGCCAGCCAAGCTCCCCCAAAAGCGCAGAAGACTACTGGTATCTTCACAGGCTTCACGGAGCGAAATGATGGTGGACCAGTATTAGCAAGCTTGTCGCTGCGGAAAAATTACCCGACCCGACAACCCAGGACAGATTGTCCTGGCACCGAAAAATTAGGAAAGCCGACCCCGCATAAAGTGGGACAGAGCTAAAAGGAAGAAGAAGATACGTATCAAAATAATTTAGTCTCATACGACCTTTCGACCTATTATTATGCACGTCATATATTTATCACTGTCCTTTGATTAAATTTTACAATAATATAGCTTATACATCATAACAATACACAGACTATAATTTAAAAAGATATTATGTAAATTGGGTGAAATATAATAATAAATATTATGTAAGTGTGATGCGGACAAAGTGGCGCTAGCTAGTATATTCATAGATATAGAACATTAGAATCGCTTCTAAAAGCTTTGTAAGGAATAGGAAATGAAATGAAATGAAATATGTTTATTTGCGAGGAATGTGGTTATAGATGTGTGGTATAGTGGTTATAGAATGGGTACATACAGTTCGACACAAACCGCCTTATATGAACATGCAAGTTCTATATTAAGAGATATGCTTTTGTAAATAGTTATATAATTCTTTCTTTCGTAATTTCAGATAGCATATTACATTTTTTAGAGAAGTTTTTTTACAGAGATGTTTTTGACTACATGTTGTGTTGTGAGTTATCATTACAAATGTGTTAATAATAATAAATCATAACAAATCTTACCTGTAATTGAAACTCTCACAAGGGAATCTCCTCTCGATGGCACATTCCCTCCTGCAGTCCTCCAGTCGCTCGCAGTTGATCACCTTTCTCACGAAGCTGCGTAGAGCGCGCCGACCGGCCAGCACCCGGCGGAAACAAGCTGTGATAAAAGAAACATTTATTACAAAGACATGAGATGGATTACGTATTTTTAAACTTCTGCGTTTAATACATATTATTAATGTAGTTACACATACATATTATTACTACAGTGAAGTATAATAGGTAAAACAACATAGCTTCAGGCTGTTGTATCTGGCTAATAGGAAATGTGTCTAGCTCCCTTTACCTGGAGTCACGTGGGTCAACTGGGTCACCTGGAACACTAAGGGAGCTAGACACGGAAAGTCGAGTCCGGTAAATCCGTTCACCACAACAGCAATTACATTCAGTTGTCAGTGAATCGAAAGAAGAATATTATGATATTTTTATTTAATACGTCAGAAAATTGTTCCAATCCATCCAAGAATCCAAGAATTATATATTTTGTTTTATTACATTTAATATTTACTTGTCACTCTGTCGCTCTTCTGTCAAAACACATTTTACAAAGCTGCTTAGAAACTTGAATAAGTGAGGCAGAAGTATCCAACCATAGCTGTCTGGTTGGGTCAGTAGTTAGTTAGTTAGTAAAAGTCAATGTCGGTAAGAAAATAAATAAAATATCTATATTTGACTCTATATTTTATACTATATATATTATTACTCTATATTTATTCATAAATAACTAGATACTTCTTCAGTAATAGCATCCATGAGAAGTTGGTCGAGTTACAATTAAAAATTACAATAAAAATATATGCATATCAAAACTATATACTATATTTATAGGTATACGGTACGTCACACAACAGCTGTAAGCATTATACACCGCTTCGCATTCATATAACGCCCACACATACCATTTTCCCTTCAGTACACCCAAATACAGACAAGCAAGCATCAGTCCACACTCAGGCATCGTGTACTCATTCAATCAAGCTGGCAAGCAGTCTGGACTTATTATTTATACAACATAGCATCCAGATTGTATGGGTCACAGTAGACTCATATAGTACATAGATTTTACGTAAATTTAAATGTCGTTCTTCATATGTAGATACTATGGTTTACCTTCAGATGAACCGAATGCCGGTTTACCACTAATATAGTATAAAAAACGTAGTACATAAATGAATTTTAGAGTGTATTTCAATTAAGTATATTGGTTTATATTACTTGGCAATTCTTTAGTGGACTCCTGCAATACAGATTCGTCTAATGCGGGGTGCATTACTATATAATACCACAACTGTTCTATTGATATATAAATATTGAAATAAATATAAACAAAAAACGTTTTTCTGATCAATTTTATGAAGATTAGTCCATCATTATTGCCTTGTCTTTATCCCATTATTTGGGGTGGGTGCAGTATGTTATTCTCTTCGACTGATCTCTATCGACCGTCATATCTGAGCATACTCTCCTTTTATTTATACAACCTTTTACACGATTCATTATTTTTTTAGAGCGTCCTCTCCCTTTCCATCCATCCAAATTCATATTATACGCTTTCTTTAAGACATAATTCTCCTCTGCATAACATGCCCATACCAGCTCAATCTGTTACCTCGCAACCTTAAGTCATCAAAATATAAAAAACCAAAAATTCACTTAGATTTTATAATATTTTTATACATTACAATTTGTCAGTTCTTCTCATCTTGAAATCACTCCGAACTGACGGTAGGTTATGTATATTCTTTATTGCACTTAAATATTTTTAAATGATATTTGAACCTACATGAATAAATATATTTTGTATTTTGAATTAAAACAATGTATTTACTGATATAATACTATATATCCTATAAATCAATATATGTATGATATGTATATATACATATATTGATTTGTTACTTCGAAACTTAAGTATAGGCGAGTGCAATTAAAGATACAAAAACTATTTACAATATAAACAAAAAACAACCTTGACTAAATATAATAGACACGTTAGTAAGATCCGTTATATCTAGAGGGAACCAACGAGTATTTTTACTACGTTTTATATACGTGAAGCAAAAACTATATACCCCTTTTCCCCCTCCGGTCGATCCCCTGACCGATATAAACGCGGATCGAAATTACGGGCTGAGTCTAGTTTCGAACCCCTAGTGCCTCGGTGCCTTCAGACTAAAGTCGTATCCGTGAGGCAAGATTTGGTCCTCAACCACTCCATAAGTCCCGCGGGTTTGGCACTGCTGGGTGCCATCTGCACTCACCCCCTATCGTTCGGTGAAGCTGTAAAGGCCAGCGGCGGCCAACAGCATTAGAATAGTTCGGAAAATAATTTTTTTTTTTGCTAAATAAATTGGAGTGAGAGGAAATCACAAATTACATACTTATAAATAAAAATGAATTGTCGAATATAAGTAAACTATTACTTGCAAAGAGCTACTACGCCTATTTAGCTAATTCCTGTTGTATTCATTATATTTGAAAAATCGTACATTAAAATACAAAAAAATATTGAGTTAAAAATGTTTTAACACTCAATTACAAATAGATAGATAGATTTTTAAACCATAAAGTTCATCGGATGGTAAACGGTTACTGGCTCCTATGGAATCCTGAATCACAAAGGGTGTCAGGTCCATGTTGGCGACTCTTAAGAAACCTTCATATGAAAAACCTCGTGCTGTAACCTCTAGATCTTTATTCAGTTACATATTCCTTAACTAAACATTGTCTCTATTAGATAACAATCCCAAAATAAGTTATATACATGTATGTATATAACGTATCTCTGAATTAATAAGAATAAGAAGAAATCAAAATAGAGGCCACTACTAAACCAGCTAGCAATTGTACTAATTGTAAACTAAATCGTTCCCATAATAGTCACGCAAGGAAAACCATAATCAGCGCTGATAACCGTATCCGACAGTTTACTTTTGCTTTATGTCATGTAATAAAAAAAATATATAAAAAAATATTTTTGGCGGGAACTTAAAAACTATAAATATTTTCAACAACGTTTTACTTCTTTCACGCTATAGTATTAGTTAGTAAACATTACATAAACATATAACGATTAGACCCGTCCCAACTTCGCACGAATGCGTTCCAAGTCTTTGAATTTCCCGGCCTGTTCTATACTATAATACATATGTGTTACACATATAAATCTACCTTTTGAATCACTCTATCTATCGCTGAAAACTTCATTAAAATCCGTTGCGTAATTTAAAAGATATAAGCGAACAGACAGTCACGGGTTTTTATACTAAGTAAAGAAGGGCAATTTAGGCAGTAAACTATGCTATTTAAAATAAGTTACGTTGTTTTTATTGAGAATATATCGAACAAAAAACGCGTTTAACTATTCTCCTAGTTCGATATTATACTATTTTTTTTATTATATTTATTTTGTGTACACAACAAAGTGATTATTACTATTATTATATTTCACAGAAATAATAATTTAAAAAAAGAAAAATTTTGTATTCCTATTTTTATATCATAAACAATAATATCATTTTTAAGTGAATAATGTAATATTTTAAAAAGTAGATATATACACAATTTTGACGTATCTACGCCTTGTTATAGAATAAATTAAAAATAAAACAATACATACTGGGCGCATTCTCCACAAGTATAACTCTCGATCCGATAACAATATGCACAAACAGACAAACTAACAACGTTATGTACACTCTCATTTTCACTGCACTTTTTTATTAACATCATTCACTGAATTAGATAACATCACTGCTCTCATTAACCATAAACATCGTGTTATTTTTTTCTATATTTTACTCACAAACTCTTTGCTGCATCATTCTAAATAAGAATCTTTAAAAATATTTAGAATAGAATAATATTGAACGAGGTTTAATTTAAAATTAAAAAAGTTTCAATTTCAAATATTGTCATTCATTCTTTATTTTTTTAATGCATTTCGGTATCAGGTAAATGCATATAAGTCTATAATTAGTTTTGTGTTAAATTTTATAAATTATTGTGTGTATGTGTTTGGATGTGGGTCAGTGGGGTCACTGCGCGAAACATAGTACGACTGAACAGTAGCATTGTCTGACATAAGCTTATATGTGAATGGAAAACTGAGGAAAGAATAGCATGGACATGACAGCGCATTACCTGCTACAAACTAATCTGTGGAATATCTTTTATATTAATTTTTGTTTATTTATTTAATAATTTATTAAGCCCATAGAGATATTATATTCTTTTGGGTATTTATGCTTTGTTACCCTTGATCTACTTTTAGGACAGAATAGATGAAAAAGGTTGGCGACACTATGGTTACTATTCAAAAATCTACAAAATCACTGATTTATCAATGCTATCCATACTAATATTATAAATTCGATAGCGTCGGTAGTCTGGCGGTTTAGTACACCGCCTTACTTCTGATTGTCGCGGGTTCGGTTAGTGTCGGCGACAAACATTTTTTGATGTTTTACATTTTTGACATATATTTTTATACCTCTACATTTTAGTTTGTTTTAGTCAGTTCATGACCACAGCTAGTGCATCTTAGTCGAAACGTCGAAAGAGGTAAATATCTTTATAAGTCAAATTATTCATGTTAAACTTCTTTTAATAATATAAATAATTTTACGTTTTATCTTTAGATATTCGACCTTTCGTAAATAATATATAAAGATATATTCATACAGTCCATTATAATGACCTAATAAATATACCAATGACATTAAGTAATATTGAGATTTATATAAAATACAACCTTCTCTAATCATGTTAAAGACAAGTTACTTTACTTATTTATATATTACTAGCAGTGCCCGCAGTTTCAGCCGCATTAAATTTATAGTCTATGTGTCTTTCTGATATATAAGCTACTTTACTGTAATGTTTCATTCTTCCTTCTTTCTTTCATCAAAATCCATTTGTTGGTTTTTGCGTGAAAGAGTAACAAACATCCATCTATACTCAGAAACAGTCGCGTTTATGATATTGGTAACATTATATATATTTTGTACATTTAGTACATTAATAATAATTAATATACGGATACTAAGAAACACATGGTAAGTTTTTTTTTTAATTCCGCCGCTGCCTATCTAATAT